CCAGTGCTGTGGATCAGTCTGTGCTGGGGCAGTGTTGTTGTTGTGGTAGAACATTTTAGTCCCCCTTGTGTGGTGCCCTTTGGAACCTCTTCAAGTTCCCTCATTTCCTCCCCTAAATTGTCACTAAAAACATCTCTTGGGAACAAGTCCGGGCTCGTTCTCTTGCCAATATCTCGAGGTATTAACGAGCCCTACATATATTTCTGTTTTAAAGCCCTGGTTGAGCCCGTGAGCTCATGGCTCCGGAGTGCTCCAGGGGGACACGAGTGACACAGAGAGGGATGGGGGACACAGGCGGGCCCCCCCAGAACCCCCAGGCTCACCTTGTCCATCATTTTCTTGGTCTGGCCGTAGCGGATGCGCAGCCGCCGTGCCTGGTAGTCGGTGCAGTTGGAGCAGGACACGAGCTCCCGGAAGGCTCCAGAGCCGGGAAACCAGGCCTCCAGATCCAGCTTTTTGCTGGCTGCGTGGTTCAGGGAGCCTGGGGACAGCAGGGACACAGGGCTGAGCGGGGAGTTGGGGGGGGCCCACTGTCTGCCCTGAGTGTGCCTGTCCTGGGGTTGAGGGATCCCATGGGATGAGGGATTCCTGCTCTGCCACAGGGATGAGGGATTCCCTGGGGATGAGGGATTCCATGGGGTGAGGGATTCCTGCTCTGCCATGGGGATGAGGGATTCCATGGGGTGAGGGATTCCTGCTCTGCCATGGGGATGAGGGATTCCATGGGGTGAGGGATCCCATGGGGATGAGGGATTCCCTGGGGATGAGGGATTCCTGCCCTGCCCCAGGGATGAAGGAGTCCCACTCATCCCAGGGAGCCTTTATCAGGATCATTCCCCTGTCAGCACTTCCAGGAGGAGCCGGGACACTCCCACTGTCCCTCTGGAAGGGCTAGCAGGGACAATCCATCCCACGCCCCTTCCCACAGACCCACAGAATTCCACAGCAAATAAAACACACCCTTCCCTCCCTCCTCCTCCTCCTCCTCCCGAGGTCTGGGGACGGAATGCTGAGCTGGAAAGGGGTCAGGGCCAGGGGGCACCAGGAATGTGCTGGCGGAGCTGTACCCGAGACGATGTTGACGATGTGATAGGGAATCCCGAGGGATTGGTAGAATTCCTCGGCCGTGGAGATCATCTCCTCAAACAGTTCCCAGGACTTGTTGTCGTGGGGGGAGGAGTAAACAAACTGCTCGATCTGCAGGAGAAGGGAACGCTGGGGACACTCGGAATTCCCAAGGGAATGCCGTGGTGACACTGGGGACACCCAGAATTCCCAATGGGAATGCCATGGTGACATGGGGGACACCCGGAATTCCCATTGGGAATGCTGTTGTGACACTGGGGACACCCCAAATTCCCACCAGGAATCCCCTGGTGACATTGGGGACACCCCAAATTCCCACTGGGAATGCTGTGGTGACACCGGGCACACCCTGAATTCCCACCAGGAACACCCCAAAATCCCATTGGAACCCCTTATGACCGCAAACACCCCCCTGGATCCCCCCGGGAATCCCCTGCTGGCCCCAGCACCCCCGAGCCTGTCACCTTCTCGAATTGGTGGACACGGAAGATGCCGCGCGTGTCCCGGCCGTGGGATCCCACCTCCTGGCGGAAGCAGGTGCTGATGCCGGCGTAGCGCAGCGGCAGCTCCTCGGGGTGCAGCCACTCGTCGCGGTGCAGGGCGGCGATGGGCTGCTCCGACGTGGCGATCAGGTACTTCTCCTCCACGGAATTGTCCTCTGCTCGCTCGCTGCCCTTCCCGATCACCTGCGGGCACAGGGGACAGCGGCGTGTCAGAGGTTTGCTTGTTCAAAAAAACCAAGCAGGAATTTTTCTTTCCCCTGCCTCTGTGAAAGAAAGATGTTGAATGAGGAGGGTGGTTTGCCTTGGGCATTCCAAGCTGATGGCCCTCCTAAAAACTGTGGGGAAGAGTGAGGAGTTTTTTGTCTTCTCCCCTTGGAAACTGGGCACACTTCACTTTTGCCTTAACTCAAGGTGTGTGTGTTGGAAAGGCTCTGAGGCCATTTTGTTCTCAGCCTGGTCAGCTGGCTGTTTTCTGGCTCCAGTTTGCCTTTGTTTCCTGCACCCTGTTCTGCCCCCAGACCCGTTCTGTGCCCGGACCTGCTCGGACTTCATCGGACAGGTTTGACCCACCTGCAGAGGAACCTTTTGGGGAGGACGTTGCCTTTTCCCTCCTCCGCTCCCATGTTGTCAGCAGTTTGTGAGTGTGCCCCATGGAGGGGTTGGGGGATGGGGGTGGGAGATGCTGCTTGTCCCGGGGGTTGGGGGGGTTTCAAAGAGTTGGGGACAGGGAGGAGGTACCTGTGTCACCCATGGAAGTGGAGACAAGACACCAGCCTTGTCACCTCAGGGCCAGCACAAGCTATCTCCTTGTCACCAAAACATGTCACCTGTGATGATGGAGCCAAGAGATGGGCCCCTTCATCACCAAAATGTGTCACTCACAGAGGTGGAGCCAAGAAACGGGCCCCTTCAGCACCAAAATGTGCCACCCATGGAGGTGAACCCCAAAGATCAGACACCTCCTTGTCACCTCATCACCATCAATGTGTCACCCGTGGAGACAGAGCCAAAAAACAGGCCACTTCATCACCAAAATGTGTCACCCATGGAGGTGGACTCTAAGGATCAGCCACCTTCTTGTCACCTCATCACCATTACAAGCCACTTTCTTGTCACCTGAGGTCCCAGAGACCTGCCACCTCCTTGTCACCACAACATGTCACCTGTAGAGATGGACCCCAGAGATGAAACACCTCCCTGTCACCTCATGGCCATCACATGTCGCCCATGGAGACGGACCCAAGATGAACCAGCTCCTTGTCATCTCATCCCCATCAAAAGGCATTTCTTTGTCACCATGTCATTCAGGGGGATGGACCCCAAAGATGAGCAACTTCCTTGTCACTGCAGTGTCACCACAATATATTTCTCCTGCAGACGAACCCCAGGGATGAGCCACCTTCTTGTCACCTCACGGTCATCATGTGTCACCCCTGGAGATGGACCCAAGAGAGCAGCCACCTCCTTGCCACCAAAACATGTCACCTATGGAGGTGGATCCCAGAGATGAGCCACCTCCTCGTCACCTCATCACCGTCACAAGCCACCTCCCTGTCACTGCACTGCCATCACATGTCAGCCATGGAGATGGACCCCAAAGATCGGCCACCTCCTGGTCACCTCATCACCATCAATGTGTCACCCATCAACACGGACCCCAGAGAGCTGTCACCTCCTTGTCTCCCATGGAAATGGACCCCAGAGATGAGACACCTCTTCGTCACCTCATCACCATCATGTGTCACCAATGAACATGGATCCCAGAGACCTGCCACCTTCTTGTCACCAAAACATGTCACCCATGGAAATGGACCCCAGAGGTGACACAACTCTCTGTCACCTCATGTCACCCGTGGAGATGGACCCCAGAGACCAGCCACCTCCTTGTCACCACAACATGCCAGCCATGGAGACGGACCTGAGATGAACCACCTCTTTGTCACCTCATGGCCATCATGTGCCAGCCACAAACATGGACCCCAGAGATGAGACAAGTCCCTGTCGCCTCATGGCCATAACATGTCACCCATGAAAATGGACCCCAGAGACAAACCACCTCCTTGTCACCTCATGTCACCTATGGACATGGACCCCAGCGACCAGCCACCTCCTTACCACCTCATCACCATCACAAGCCACCTCCTTGTCACCACAACATGCTGCCCATGGAGATGGACCTCAGATGAGCCACCTCCTTGTCACCTCATAGCCATCGTGTGTCACTCCTGAAGACTGACCCCAAGGAGAGGGGAAGGGAACCACCACTGCTGTCACCACTGGAACAGAGGGGACCCCACCACCTCCCTCCCCACAGCCACAGCCCCAGGGGGGTGTCTGGGCCCCAAATGCCACCCCAAATGCCACTCCAAAGCCCAGACCTTGTAGAGCTCCTCGTCGAACTGGCTGAGCTGGGCCACCTCCTGCATGACCTCCTTGCGCATGAAGAAGGGGGTGTAGACCGGGGTGTAGCCCCGGGCTCGCAGGCTCTGCAGGGCGTACTGGATCAGGGCCTGCTCCAGGAACACCAAGGGACCCTGGGGACATGGGGGGACACCGCCTGTCATGCTCACACCACGCTGGGCCATCCACCCTGCTCAGCAGATCCCATGGAGCTGCTCCAGCTCTCGGGACCAGCGTCGTCCCAGATGGGGACGGATCCAGAGGCACCACCCGGGCCAGGGTCCATCCCACACCACCCCCATGGGGGCTCCCATCATCCCAGGGATGGATCCAGAGGTACCACCCGGGTCACAGTCCATCCCACACCACCACTCCCACCATCCCACCTGGCAGAGGAGAAACCAAGACCCCCATCCCACCTCATCCCCCCTGGATCCCAACCATTCCACACCCCTGTGGGGGTCCCAGCCCTCACCTTCAGGAAGTAGCCGCGGCTCCCGGCCACCACAACCCCCTTCTCGCCCTCAAAGCCATCCACCATCACCACCAGATCCACATGGGAATACTTCTTTCTGCAGCTACAGTCGCCCCACACCCGCTCCACCTTGTTGTCCACATCCTGCATGAAGAGAGTAGAATTTGGGGCCCATCACTCAGTGCCCCATAACACCCCAAATTCCCAAGGACTACCACAGGGATACCAAGTACAGCCCGAATTCCCGCCAGGAACCCCGTGGTGACAGTGGGTGCCCCCAGATTCCTGCTGGAACCCCATGGTGAGCCTGAATACACCCTGAAATCCCTGCTGGGATCCCACAGTGGCACCTGGCACCCCCCCAAATTCCCACCTGAACATCCCAGTGACCCCTGGGCCCAGTGGTCGTTACAAATATGACATATTACAAATGTTACATTACAAATATTACAGATGTTACAGTCTGGGCCCAGTTTTGGAGTCCGGACCCCCCTGCCTGACCCTAGCTCAGAGGAGAGGATTTGGGTTCCATCACCCCATCACACCCCCACACCAGTCCCTGCACTGCACTGGGACCAGTGGTCAATACAAACATTACATATTACGAATACTGTATACCTGTAAAATGTAAAATATGTAAATATTACACATATTACATATTATAAATATTACATATTACATGTATTACAAATATTACATATCTGTAAAATGTAATATTTGAATATGTAATATTAAAATGTGTAATATATGTAAATACTATCCCTATTACATATTAAAAATATTAAATAGTAAGCATATTACATATTACAAATATTACAAATGCTACAATACGGGCCCAGTTTGGGAGCCCAGACTCCCCAGACCGACCCCAGCCCAGAAAGGAGGATTTGGGGCCCCCGACCCCATCACCCCCCAGCCCAGTCCCTGCACTGCACTGGGCCCAGTTCCTGCACTGCACTGGGCCCAGTTTGGGAGCCCAGCCTGCCCAGGCTGACCCTGGTTAGGAGGCCCGTTGGCACAGGGCCCGAGGTGTTCCCTGGCCAAACATTCCTGGGATGAATGGAGGCAGTGGAGGGGAGAGTCAGCCCCCCCTCGGGAGGAGCCTTTCCCATGGATTCTCCCAACAAAGGGGTGCCTGGTGCTGTCTGAGTCGCCCTTTGTGTGCTCCTGGCGGGACTCTGTGCCGGCTGCTCCAGCCTGGGGGGGATCCCCCTGGCACCCCCCAGCTCTGGGCCCCTCTGCCATGGCCCTGCGTCCCCACCTCCCTCCCTGTGTCCCCACCCATCTCCCTGTGGCCCCTGTGTTCCATCTCCCTACCCCTGTCCCACCTTCCTCCCCATGTCACCCCCTCCCTCCCCCGTCCATGTCTCTCCTGGTCCCATGTCCACCTCCCTCCCTGTTCCCCATCCCCACTTCCCTCTCCGTGACCCTCTCCCTGCCCGTATCCCCATCTCACTCCCAGTGTCCCATCCTGTGCCACCCCTCCCATCCATCTCCTTGTGTCCCCACTTCCCTCCCCATGTCCCATCTCCCTCCCTGTGCCCCATCCCCATCTCCTTCCCCTTCTCCCTCTTTCCCTCCTCATGTCTCCACCTCCTTCCCTATGTCCCATCTCTCTCCCCCTATCCCCACCCCCCTCATGCCCCATCCATCCCCCCATGTCCCCATCCCCATGTCCCTCACCCTATTCCCACCCTTCTCCTCATCTCCCTCCTCATGCCCCATCCATCCCTGTGTCCCCATCTCTGTGTCCCCAGCTCCCTCCCCACGTATCCACTTCTCTCCCTGTCCCACGTCCCTCCTCTCCCCGTCCCATCCCCACCTCCCTCCCCGTGTCTCCATCTCCCCTCTTATGTCCCATCCCCATCTCTGACCTCGTGTCCCATCTCCCTCTCTGTCTCTCACCTCCCTCCCCATGTCCCATCCCTATCTTCTTCCCACTGTCTCCATCTCCTTCCCCATGTCCCCACCTCCCTCCCTGTGTCCCCACCTCACTCCCCGTGTCCCATGTGCCTTTCCCTGTCCCTGTCCCTCTTCCAGTGTCCCACATGCCTTTTCCTGTCCCCTTCTCCCTATGTTACAGGTGCCTTTCCCCATCCTGTCCCTGTCCCGTGTCCCAGGTGCCTTTCCCCGTCCCTGTCCGTGTCCCTGTCCCTGTCCCACCTCGTCGTTGCTGATGGGCACAGAGGGGTGCAGCAGGTTCCCGATCTCCCGCAGGCTCTCAAACCGCTCAGCCTCGAGCCGGAGCCGCTCCGAGTCACATTCCTGGATGGCCTCGTCGATGAGCAGCCGGAGCTGCTTGATCTGGGACACCTGGAGAGCCTGCGGAGAGACCCCGCGGAGAGACCCTGCTCAGGGCAGGGACCCCTGGGGACAGGGGGGAGGTGGCCCAGCATGGCAAATCCTGGATCCAGCACGGCAAATCCCAGAACCCACACGGCAAATCCCAGAACCTGCACAGCAAATCCTGGAACCCACACAGCAAATCCCAGAACCTGCACAGCAAATCCCGGAACCCACATGGCAAATCCCAGAACCTGCATGGCAAATCCTGAATCCAGCACGGCAAATCCCAGATCCAGCACAGCAAATCCCAGAACCCGCACAGCAAATCCCAGATCCAGCATGGCAAATCCCAGAATCTGCACAGCAAATCCCAGATCCAGCATGGCAAATCCCAGAATCTGCACAGCAAATCCCAGATCCAGCATGGCAAATCCCAGAATCTGCACAGCAAATCCCAGATCCAGCACGGCAAATCCTGGATCCAGCACGGCAAATCCTGGATCCAGCACGGCAAATCCCAGATCCAGCACAGCAAATCCTGGATCCAGCACAGCAAATCCCGGATTCGGCACCACAAAGCCTGGATCCAGCACCACAGATTCTAGATCCAGCACCACAAATCCCGGATCCAGCACCACAAATCCCGGATCCAGCATGGTGGGGCTCAGGGAAGCTCAGGGAGCACAGGGGGACTCGGAAGGGCACAGGGGTGGCTCTGGGGACACAGGGGGCTCCAGCGGTCCCACTCACCCCCAGCACATCGGCCGTGAGCCCCTCCAGGTTCCGGGCACTCTCTGGGACTGACTCGTCCGTCCCCACTGGCTCCTTCCTCTGCGGGGCGGTAAAAGGGACCCCAAGAGGGTTAACGGGGGAAATTCCAGTGGGAAACCTCCCTCAGGGACACAAGGGGGAGGGGAGCAGGCAGGGAGGGACCCCCAAAGGGCTGAGGGGGGAGGGAGGGACCCCTAAAAGGGCCAAGAAAGGGGGTGGAGGACAGAGGAACCCCCCAAAGGGTTGGGCAGGAGGGGGGAGAGAAATCACCCCAAAGGGCTGGGGGGGAAGTGGAGGAGGGAAGGGACCCCCAAAGAGTTGGGGAAGGGGGTGGGAGGGACCCCCCAAAGGGTTGGAGAGAGGAGGAAGGAATACCTCAAAGGATGGTGGGAGGGGGGGGGAGGGAGGGACCCCCAAAGGGCTGCTGGGGAGTGCAGGAGGGAGGAACTCCCAAAAAGGGCCAGGGAAGGGGGTGGGAGAAACCCCTAAAAGGGCTGGGGGAGGGTGGAGAAGGGAGGGACCCCAAAAGGGCTGGGGAGGAAGTGGAGAGGCCTAAAATGGTTGGGGAGGGAGGAGAGAGGAAACACCCCAAAAGGTTGGGGAGGGAGGAGTGGGAGGGATCCCCAAAGGGCTAAGGGGGTGGGAGGGACCCCAAAAGGGCTGGTGGGGAGTGGAGGAGGGAGGAACTCCCAAAAAGGGCCAGGGAAGGGGGTGGGAGAGACCCCTAAAAGGACTGGAGAGGGGGGAAAGGATACCCCAAATGGGTTGGGGAGGATGGGGAGGGCTCCCCAAAGGGCTGAGGGGGTGGGAGGGACCCCCAAAGGTCACCCCCACTCAAGGGGCTTCAGGGATCAATGTGGGGAGGGGAGGGGGGGTGGTGGCAGGGAGGGACACAGGGGTCCCCCACCACCAGCCTGGGGGGGGCACTGGGAGGGGCTGGGGGGAAACACCCCCAGGGACAGGAGGGAGAGACCAAGGGGGCTGGGAGTGAGAGGGGGGCACCAGGGAGAGGTCTAGGAGGATGGGGGGGGGGCACCAGGGAGAGATCTGGGAGTGGGGGGAGGCACCAGGGAGGGGGCTGGAGGGCTGGGATGGGGTGGCCCTGGCTGGTGCCCCCGTGGTGCCCACCTTCATCTTGTCCCCAATGGTTTTGCTGCAAAGGTTCTTCAGCTTGTTCAGGTTGTCGGCACGAAACCTGCCTGGAGAGGAAGGAGGGGCTCTCAGAGGGGGTGGGACTGGGGTCTCCTGGAGAGGAGGGGGGGCTCTCAGAGGGGGTGGGACTGGGCTGGGGTCTCCTGGAGGGGAAGGGGGGGCTCTCAGAGGGGGTGGGACTGGGCTGGGGTCTCCTGGAGAGGAAGGGGGGCTCTCAGAGGGGGTGGGACTGGGCTGGGGCCCCCAGGGGCCATGGGAAGCCCCCCCGGGAGCAGGAGGGGAGTTGCAGCTCTGGGAATGCCCCAGGGTTTGGGTGGGGTGGGGATGGAAAACATCTGGAGTGACCCCTGGGACCCCCAGGGCAGGATGGGACCTCCCTGTGGTGGGACAGGACACCTCCACTCCAGGCTGGCACCCCCACACTGGGCTGGGACCCCCATGCCAGGATGGGACCTCCCATTGGGATGGAACACCCCCACTCCAGGCTGGGACCCCCATGTTGGGATCTCCTATGCTGGGCTGAGACCCCCATGTTGGGATCTATTATGCTGGGCTGAGACTCCCATGTTGGGATCGCCCATGCTGGGCTGAGACCCCCATGCCAGGCTGGGACCCCCAGCATCATGCTGGGACCCCCCTGCAGGACAGTCCCCCTGCACTGGGCTGGGACCCCCCACACCAGGATAGGACCCCCATGTTGCACTGGCACTCCCATGTCAAGCTGGGACACCCCACACACACTGGGGACTCCCACACTGGGCTGGGACCCTCCCCATGCCAAGATGGGACCCTCACACTGGGCTGGAACCCTCCCACCGAGATGGGAACCCCCCACTCCACTGACACCCCCCACACCGAGATGGGAAACCCCCCTCTCCACTGGGACCCCCATGCCAGTCTGTGGCCCCCCACACCAGGATGGTACTCCCAAATCGGGGCCACTCCAAATCAGGGTGACACCCCAAATCAGGGTAACCCCAAGAGGGTGACATCTCCAAACAGAGTCACCCTAAATTGGAGTGACACCCCAAATAAGGGTCACCCCAAAAAACGGTGACACCCCAAATCAGGGTGACACCCCAAATCAGGGTCACCCCAAGAGGGTGACATCCTAAAACAGGGTCACCCCAAATTGGAGTGACACCCCAAATCAGGGTCACTCTGGGAAGGTGACACCCCAAATCACACGGGGGAATCGGTCCTGGGGGGGCAACCCCGAGCCAGGGAATAGGGAATGGGATGGGATGGGATGGGATAGGATGGGTACCGCGGGATTGCATCAGCCACGCGGCCACCACTCTGCGCCACCCTCTGCCACCTCCTGTCACCCCCTGCCAGCCTTGTCACCCTCTGCCATCCCTGTCACCCCCTGCCAGCCCTGCCACCCCCAGCCCCCCCGTCGCGGGGGTCCCGCGGCGCCGCGGGATTGCATCAGCCACGCGGCCGCCACCCTGCGCCACCTCCTGTCACCTCCTGTCCCCTCTGCCACCTCCTGTCCCCCCTGCCACCCTCTGCCAGCCCTGTCACCCCGTGCCGGGGGTCCCGAGCCCGCGGGAGGGTCGCTGGGAACGGGAGGATCCCGTGGGATGAAACGCTCCGGGCTAAAGCAGGGCCCGATCCCACAAGGACAGGGAGAGATCGGGAGGAAAGGGGAGCCCCCGGCGCCGCTTCCACCCCCTGGGGAGGGGGCGTGGGAACGGCGGGATTGCGGGGCGCCCACCCCATCTCATCCCCCACCCCGCGCTCGGCACCCAAGGGTGGGGCGGAGGGAACATCCCACGGCCCCAAATCCTGCCGGGAAACACTGGGATGCGGCTCCTGCCGCCTCCCCGAGCCGCTCCGGGGTGGGAGCCCAAAGAGGGGGGATGGGACCCCAAATCGGGGGGTAGAATCCCAAATCAGGGGGTAGGGACCCCACATCGCTCCCATCCCTTGTGAGGAACAAGGAGGGGGGGGTCCCATCACCTGGGGGTGACCGAGGGGACAGGGGGTGACAACCCCTCGGAGATCCCCCCATCCCAATCCCGAGGGTCCTAAATCCCCGGGGGGGGTCCCACCACAAGGCTGGGGGCGGCCGGGGGGTGACAAAGGACAGGGGAGAGGGGGTGACAAGCCCTGAGGGGTGCCCCAACCTCCATCCCGGGGGTCCCCCATCCCCAGAAGAGAGAAAATGGGGGAGGGGTCTCATCACCTGGGGACCCCCATTCCCAGGGACGGGTCCCACCACCAGGCTGGGGGGCGACTGCGCGTGACCGGGGGGGACAAGGGACAGGGAGCAGTGGGTAACAACCCCTGGGGGGGGTCTCCCCACGCCACTCCCAGGGGTCTCCCAATCCCCTGCCGGGGGGATCCTCCATCCCTTGGAAGGAGCAAGGGGGGTGTCCCATCACCTGGAGTCCCATCACTGGCCTGGGGGGTGGCTGGAGGTGACCTGGGGTGACAAAGGACAGAGGACAGGGCGTGACAACCCCTCGGGGTTCCCCCACGCCCCTCCCGGGGGTCTCCCCCCCGCCGCCCCCCCACGTACACCTCCTCCAGGCTCCGTCCGCGCGCACGAGCGCGTCCACGAGCGCGGGGTCCTTGAAGCGCTTGCGCTGCATCTCCCGCACCATGGCGGGGTCTCCGCCCTTGTCGGCGCGGAACAGGTCGAGGTCCAGCACCATGACGGGGAGCGGGATCGGGACCGGAATTGGGATCCGGAGCACGGGTAGGGGAGCTCGGGAGAAGCCGCACTGCGCATGCGCCAAATGGGCGGGGCGTGGGCTGTGCAAAAGGGGGCGGGGCCTGAGTGGCGGGAGAAGCAGCGCCCCCTTGCAGCAGGAGGACCAACCTGGTTTGGGGGGGGTTTCGGGAGGTATGAGGGGGGATGTGGGGAGTTTTAGGTGGTTTTGGGGGAGTTTCAGGGGCTGTGGGGGGATTATGGGGAGATTTGGGGGGGTGTCAGGGTTGCAGGGATTTGAGGAGTTTCAGGGGTTACGGGGGGGTTGGGGGGATCTCAGGGGGTGTGGGGGACTGGGGGGGAGGATCTAAGGGGGTTTCAGGCGGTTTAGGTGAAAACTCTCCCAAATCCCCCCCAAAACCCCCCATAACCCCTGAACTCCCTCGAGTCCCCTCATAGCCCCTGAAATCCCCCAAATCGCCCCCAACCCCCCTGAAAACCCCTGAAAACCCCCAAATCCCACCCAACCCCTCTCAAAACCTCTGAAAAACCTCAAATCCCCCCAAACCCCCTGAAAACCATGAAACCCCTCAAACACCCCCCAAAACTCTCCAAAGCCGGGAGAACGGGGGGGGGGGGGGGGGGGGGGGGGTGAAGGGGGCTGTACGGCAATGCGCATGCGCAAAGTGGGCAGGGTCTATGACGTGGCAGAAGCAGCGCCCCCTGGCGGGCGGGAGGACCAACTTGGTTCGGGGGCGGCGTTGGAGGGTTTCGGATGGGGGGGTTCTGGGGGGATTTCCTGGGTTATGGGAGGATTTTTGAGGGGATTTGGGGGGATATGAAGGGTGTGGGGGGCTTGGGGGGGTTTCAGGGGTTATGAGGGGCTTCCAGGAGGATTTGGGAGGGTTCAGGGGGTGTAGGGGGATTCGGGAGGGATTTCAGGGGTTAAGGGCGAGATTTTGGGGCGCTTCAGAAGGGGAGGTTGGGGGATTTAAATGGGTGTGGGGGAGTTTGGGGGGGTTTCAGGGGGTATGGGGGGGGTTGAGAGGATTTGGGGGATTTCAAAGGGTCTGGGAGGGTTTCAGGGGATACGGGGGGATTTGGGGGGGGATTTGGGACGTTTTCAAGGCATCTGGAAGGATTATAGGAGGTTGTGGGGGTTTCAGGGCTATGGGGGGATTTGGGGCGGTTTCAAGGGATCTGGAGGGATTATAGGGGGTTATGGGGGTTTCAGGGAGTGGGGGGCGTTCTGGGGGATTTGTGGCGTTTAATTGGGGGGGCTGGGTGCTTTTCGGAGTTGGGGGGGCTTGAGGGGGTTTCAGGGGCTATGGGGGAAAACCCAACCAAATCCCCCCCAAAACCCTCCAAAACGCCCCCAAACCCGGGAGCACTGCGGGACCGCATTGCGCATGCGCGTCTGGGGCGCGGCAAGGGCGTGGCACTGGCGGGCGGGGCTTGTGTTGCGTGAGGGGTATCAGCGCCCTCTGGCGGGCGGGAGAGCCGACCTGGTTTGGGGGGATTTTGAGGGGGTTTCAGGGGTTATGGGAGGGCTTTTGGGGGGTGTTCAGGGGGTATGGGGAACTTTTGGTCGGGTTTGGGGGGATATGAAGGGGGCAGGGGGATTTCAGGGGGTACAGGGAGATTCTGGGGGGGGATTTGGAGGAGCTTTGCCCCAGATATTTGCCAGATATTGCTTTTTATCACCCAAAAAAGGCTTTTTATCGCCCCAAAAGTGCTTTTTTTCACCCCAAATTGTGCTTTTTAACCCCTCAGACTTTGTGTTCAGCTCTGTTTTAATTCCTCGGACTTTGTTTTGGGCTC